GGTCTCTTCACTATCCCACCCTTGGAAGAAACTACTTTCATACTTCAACGTAGCAGCTTCATTATTTAATTATGATCTAGAAATAACGTTTTCTTTCTTCTATTTGGTTAATAGATAATACCAAAAAGAAGAACATGCAAAATCTAATAAGTTTTCGAAACAGCAACACCAAAGTACATTTTGACCAGACCAAGAATGTGTCCCTCCACTGAAGTAATAATAGAAGACCCACAACTACTTTGACTTTATTTTGTCTGAGTAAGATCTATGTCACGAATTTTTCAAACTCAAATAATACTACTATATATTAAACGAATGAATTCAGCTAGTGTCATGTACGTAGAGTGAGATCTTGGTTGAAGTACAAGTACATATTTGTGTGTATATAACGTGTTTAGTCTATCACAAAAGAGTTGTATCTCGACCGTTACGAAAAATGAAAGGAAGGGATTTGGAACTGACCCGGAAGACGTTGGCCAGAGCCGGAGCAGCGGCGAGGCGACCGGAGGATAAGGAGGCGTCAACGGCGACTTGAACGGCGAGAGATTCGAGAAAAGGTTCAGGCCAGACGTCGTTGGCGCCACGGCGAGGGCGAGAAGGAGATGGGGCCTCGAAAACGCCGCCAGTTGCACGAGCGCCGGAGCTAGAACCGGCGCCGTCGTCTCCGTTGTCGGAAGAAGAGGAGGAGGAAGACATGTTGTTATAAGAAGAGAGGGAGAAGTGGAGAAAGGAATGGTGGGGGAGAGAAGGAAACAAAGGACAAAAAGTGTAGATAAAGACATACTTCTACGAGGTGGGGGACCCAGGTTGTGGAGGTATGTTTTTTTTATTTTTCTGGTGTTTAGTTTTATTTTTTTATTATTCATTTGTAGAAAAATGTATTTCCATTTTCTAGATTAATTTATTATGTAAATAAAATTTAATTCAAAGAAAGACCACAAAAGGTAAAAATACACTTCAAACAAATCATTTTTTTTGTTTTTTGGGATTTTTGCCAAAAATGGCATTTGTTTGAAAAAATGTTCAAAAAAATCATTTACTCAAAAACCTTTGAAAAAATGCTACAAATTACTATTCAAGACATGAAAAAACATTTATATCTTTAATTATGACTTTCATGGTATACGTTTTCGTCCATATCGTTTTTGTC